GCAGGCGGGAGAGATACATAATAATTTACACGAGGAAAATATTAGAGGGGCTGGTCCCAAACCTGCACACAGAATTAACACCACATGAGACCAGAAGGCATGACAGGATGTGCAGAATACCCTCGTTGAAAAGCAGAGGTGCAACAGGTACTCTGAGAGAGAACTCTATCAACATCAGAGGCCCGAGACTGTTCAACACGCTTCCGCTACACATAAGGGGCATAACTGGCCGGCCTCTCACAGTGTTCAAGAGAGAACTTGACAAGCACCTCCAAAGGATACCTGATCAACCAGGCTGTGACTCATACGTCAGGCTACGAGCAATCGCGTCCAACAGCCTGGTTGACCAGTCCAGCAACGAGGAAGCCTGGTCGAGTACTGGGCCGCGACGACGTTGAGCTCTGAAATCATTGCAAGTAACCACAAAGTAAGAGAGGCGTGTGGGGCGGTGGGCGCCAAAGGTGTTCCGTTCATGTTGCTCACAAGTGTGCTTGGCTGGAGCTGCTGAACCTTACGCAGCAACACCGCCACCTCTATCATTGCCTCCTCCCCCCCCCCCCCCACCCCTCTCCCTCCTACCATTTACCTTCCGTTTCCTCTCCCATACCCGACTCGCCACCCAGTTCATTAAATGGTGGTCACTTCTCTTACATCTTTCCTCCCATTGGGATACTTAAGGCTCTATACAGTTCAAGTAGTATAGTTCTTTGACAGTAGGTTATGTGGCCGCCTGCCAGATTGTCTGCCTTGAGCTGCCGTGTGGTGGCTCTGGAGATCAGTGTTTCCGCGGTCCCGTTTCTGTCGTCTGGTCGACTAAGATTACTCGTCTGGTCGACTAAACTGGCGGTTGTCACAGCTCACAGTGCGATGTGGGCACTGTACCGGTTCATCAAGTACCCTTCTCACTGCTTGAAGGTCGTTGCCTCGGGGCGCTGTCAGAGGTCACGGACTATACTCCCTGTCCCAGCCAATCATTTCACTTTTACCCTGCAGCACTAACCAGTATAATCGTCGCCATAAGTTGTTTTGCACATATATTTTTATCATTATGATAGAGCGCCAAGATGAGGTGAGGAGGAACAACACAAACCGGCTGGGACAAGTTTGTGGTCACATGCTCCTGGGGTTTAATAGACCACTATTAAACGTTCAGGAAGCTGCTCCTTTCTTGATCACAAAAGTGGCATAATGAAGGGAGGGTTGTAGGAGGAGGTGACGCTGCACACCGAGGCACAGATCACAGTGCTTCGCTAACTCCCTTCATTTTTTCCCCGCATCTTCCCATAATTCCACATCCAACGCACGAAACATTTTGAAATGAATTAGTATTTTTTATTTCTCATTATAACTGGGGAATCGAGTGATAGCCTGGTTGATGGGGTTCTGAGAGTTCTTCTACTCCCCAAGCCCGGCCTGACTTGTGAGAGTTTGGTCCACCAGGCTGTTGCTTGGAGCGGACCGCAGGCCCACATACCCACCACAGCCCGGTTGGTCCAGCACTCCTTGAAGGAAACAGTCTAGTTTTCTCTTGAAGATTTCTACGGTTGTTCCGGCAACCGTAGACATCAACCGGCCCGATGCAGTAGCAAGAGACCACAGGCCGGTTGAGACCCCCTGGAAGAGACCCAGCTGTGTGTACTTAGCTGCGGTCAAGTGATCCGACTCCTCACCTTTTAAGTTTGTGTTGTCTTCAAGCCTCAAGTTAGTGTATTTGATGGTCAGTGTAGCAGCAAGTGTTGGTTGTTGCCACGAACGCGTGCAAGGAAACAAATAATCTTCCGCTGAAATTTCTTATTCCAGTTGACATTTGTAGACGAGAAAGAATCTTATTTGTTATGTTTTCATTCTGTTCATCGGCTTCGGTAGGTAGGTAGACCCTGATCGCTGCAGGCACCAGTGGCCCGGAGGTCCGGTCTGTGACACAGCCTCTTGGTTCACGGTCTGATCACTACAGTGCTCGCCGCTGCTCGCCGTCCGACGTACGAACCACATACCAGTATTCTCACGGTTACTTAAATTATTCTCATATAATTTTTGTCATGGTCTAAAGTTCTTTGTCTAATAGTTGACAAGAACCAGTTGAGAGGGAAGGACACGGTTAGAGCTACCTGTGAAGTGGTGCTATGAGCCCGTCTGGGAAGACTATGGGCGTCGTGAGCCCGTCTGGGAAGACTGTGGGGGGACGGGCTGGGAAGACTGTGGGGGTCGTGAGCCCGTCTGGGAAGACTGTGGGGGGACGGGCTGGGAAGACTGTGGGGGTCGTGAGCCCGTCTGGGAAGACTGTGGGGGGACGGGCTGGGAAGACTGTGGGGGTCGTGAGCCCGTCTGGGAAGACTGTGGGCGCCGTGAGCCCGTCTGGGAAGACTGTGGGGGGACGGGCTGGGAAGACTGTGGGGGTCGTGAGCCCGTCTGGGAAGACTGTGGGGGGACGGGCTGGGAAGACTGTGGGGGTCGTGAGCCCGTCTGGGAAGACTGTGGGCGCCGTGAGCCCGTCTGGGAAGACTGTGGGGGGACGGGCTGGGAAGACTGTGGGGGTCGTGAGCCCGTCTGGGAAGACTGTGGGGGGACGGGCTGGGAAGACTGTGGGGGTCGTGAGCCCGTCTGGGAAGACTGTGGGCGCCGTGAGCCCGTCTGGGAAGACTGTGGGGGGACGGGCTGGGAAGACTGTGGGCGCCGTGAGCCCGTCTGGGAAGACTGTGGGCGCCGTGAGCCCGGTAACAGCCCTCACATATCTACATATGGCGGTTGGCACCGGGCCGCGGATTGTTTGTCCCCTCATTAAGATCTGGTAGACCGGGTACCAGGTGGCGAGGAGAGACCTGTAGGCCTACAGGGGGCTTCAGGTAATGTTAGCCTCGTAGGCCTACAGGCTTTTGGTTATAGGTACTTCACCTGCTGCCACACTTAACTGTTGAACTCGAAAATTGTGTGAACAGCTGCGACCTGCTGGCAACAGTGCTGACCTGGCTACATTGAGAACTGAGGTGACTCGAACCAGCGACCATGGTACACCCAGCCGAGCACTGAGACTATACTAGTGTGACCACACTGTGACTACACCACAGTACTCGCACCACCACTGTGACTAACTACACCACAGTACTCGCACCACTGTGACTACACCACAGTACTCACACCACTGTGACTACACCACAGTACTCACACCACTGTGACTACACCACAGTACTCACACCACTGTGACTACACCACAGTACTCACACCACTGTGACTACACCACAGTACTCACACCACTGTGACTACACCACAGTACTCACACCACTGTGACTACACCACAGTACTCACACCACTGTGACTACACCACAGTACTCACACCACTGTGACTACACCACAGTACTCACACCACTGTGACTACACCACAGTACTCACACCACTGTGACTACACCACAGTACTCACACCACTGTGACTACACCACAGTACTCACACCACTGTGACTACACCACAGTACTCACACCACTGTGACTACACCACAGTACTCACACCACTGTGACTACACCACAGTACTCACACCACTGTGACTACACCACAGTACTCACACCACTGTGACTACACCACTGTGACTACACCACAGTACTCATACTGGCAGTGGTTTTCGCTTTTGATTTAGCATATGTGAAGAAATATTTTTTTTTTTTATTTCTTGAATTGCTTTCTGTTCTAGTTGCCTTTCTTCAGTCTGGTATGAATGCTTCAGTCTCTGTTCGATTTCTTCAATCTCCCTGCTTAAATTATTTCTTCTTTGTATGGAGAGTCGTGTCTGCTTAAGCTAATGCTTAAGCTGCTCAAGCTGCTCTTGATAATTTCGATGGTCGTCCTCTAGCAGCTCCTCTAGCAGTCTTTCCATTGACAGCAGGTTAAGGTCTTCTCACTGGCAAGTTAAAAACCTCAATCTTAATTAAATGCCTGCAGTCGTGCAGGCATTAATACCTTAATGCCTGCACGACTGTGTGACTTTTGCTTTTTACAGCCGATTGCATTTTATTGTAAATTATATTTTTAGCTAAACAAATCGCAGGCGAGAAGCGCGGAAATTGGTGTGACATAGACCTAAATCCGGGGAATAATACTTGCGGTAACAGTTCTTGGAAAAGAGTTCTTGTTGAAGAGTGTGTGAAAGTGTTTGTTGGTCGAGTGTTGAAGTGTCCAGCATCTGGGATGATCTTCCTTAGTGTTGTGACCTTGCACGTGGTGACCTTGCACCAGGTGACCTTTGTTACGGAATGCCTTATCGTGTTATTGCGTCGCATAAAAAAATGGCACTGTTATTTAATAGTAATACTTTCAATATTACAGGGAGAACAAGGTTAACGACCGTAAAGGTCGTTAAGGTCGTTAACGGTCAGCACGGTGCGGCTCGTCTGGTGGCGGGAATTCTGTTAGCCAATCAGAATCACCGGGCGAGGTAATGAGTGCTGGTCAGAGCAACAACTGAACAGTACTCTACTCACTCCCATTCGGTCGTCAGGCCGTCGTCGTGTGTGTGTATCTGACCAGTTGACCCCCGGCTGTGACAGCGTGTTCCACATCTCCAGCGACACGGACCTTAGGACCTAGCGGCATGGTCGACTCCGTAGGACGTCTTTGAAATCTATCGCTGTTCTGGATTATTGGACCCAGTCCGAAAAGTAGATGGTCCTTAAGAATTGAATCGACTGACGAGTGGCGGCCATCTCATTGGCATATACATAGTGTCTTGGTGTATATATTACTGTACATACAAGTACAGTGTCTTAGTATATGTATATATCTTTAACTGTACATATAATGTACCTTCGTGTTTTAGTGATATAGGTGAATATATCCATTAGTCTTCTCCAAAATTATTTCTTGTCCTCAGTCAGATCTCAGAGAATTAAGTGTGTCGCACCTGACAACTGGTCATGCTGAGACTGACACCTGAAAAAATCTAAGTATCCACTTGGATTACAAAGCATAAGAAAAGCACTTGCAGAACAAGCCTATTAAATGTGTTGGGTTTTAGACAGTTCGATCCCAACACCTTGCTCCAGGTGACCTTGCTCCAGGCGACCTTGCTCCAGGCGACCTTGCTCCAGGTGACCTTGCTCCAGGTGACCTTGCTCCAGGTGACCTTGCTCCAGGTGACCTTGCTCCAGGTGACCTTGCTCCAGGTGACCTTGCTCCAGGTGACCTTGCTCCAGGCGACCTTGCTCCAGGCGACCTTGCTCCAGGCGACCTTGCTCCAGGCGACCTTGCTCCAGGCGACCTTGCTCCAGGTGACCTTGCTCCAGGTGACCTTGCTCCAGGTGACCTTGCTCCAGGTGACCTTGCTCCAGGTGACCTTGCTCCAGGCGACCTTGCTCCAGGCGACCTTGCTCCAGGCGACCTTGCTCCAGGCGACCTTGCTCCAGGCGACCTTGCTCCAGGCGACCTTGCACAACTACAGCTGAAGGTACATTCTAAGAACAACAAATTTAGTTTATATTTATTTGTATATGTTTGATGTGTTGGATGTTTGAAAGGTTTTGGCGATCACATCAAGACGATTATTTCTTCTACACTTTTTGAGTCTTATTTCCACATCTTAAGTCTCTAGCGCGGGAGGGGGGGGGGGAGGCTGCCACCTTGTATAGTGCTCAGTGCGACTTCCAAAAACAGTAATGAAACACTTGGTCTGTAAAGTTTGCCCAAATTTACAGATCAGGTGTAAACAAAACAAAACTTACATAACAAACACTTGATCTTTAAGTTTGTTTTTGACATGTTGATGTAAACAGCGCATGATACAATGTGTTCAAGAGAGAGCTTGATGAACACGTATAAAGATTATCTGATCAACCAGGCTGTTATTTATATGTCCGGCTGCGAGCAGCTGCCGGACATAGCCTGGTTGACCAGACCGCCAACCGGGCCGCGAGGACGTTGATCCCCGGAAGCAGCACCAGGTGTGGATGGCGAAAGTATGAAATCTTCGCTAAGTACACTATGGTTTTCACATGACAAAAGGTCCCCCTCCCCCCCCCCCTGGTTTACAGCATCAGTCACGACATATGTGACGGGAAGGCCACGGGGGCTCTAGCTCTGGGCCCCAGCACCACTCCCTCACAAGTGTGCAGGCTGCTCCGCGCTACAACGGGCAGAACTGGTTTGTTCCTTCACTTATGGTAAAGGTTTACCAGGTCACGGGAACTTCCCTCCCACTACCTGAACGTGCACACGTGAACGTGCACACGTGAACGTGCACACGTGAACGTGCACACGTGAACGTGCACACGTGAACGTGCACACACAGTCCTCACTGGGGACACCAGTGTACACGGCCTGGCAGGCGAGTAGGCAGCGCTCTGGGGTTGTAGTCCTATGGGCCCGGGTTCGATTCCCGATCGAGGCAGAAACAAATGGGCAGAGTTTCTTTATCCTGGTGCGTCTGTTCAGCTAGAAATCAATAAGTATCTTGAGTTAAAGTTGCTACGGGTTGCATCTTGGGGATGTGTGTGTATGCCAGAGAGAAACTTGTGTAGTAGATATGATGGAGGAAAAGTTGATTGAAAGTTAGTACATTAGACAACCGATGGTTAGAAAGGCGGGGTCCAAGAACTAACATCTCGATCCTGCAGACACAAATAGTAAATACATACACGCGCTCACGGGTATGTGCACATATGTACGCACACGGAAACTTAAGCCTGGGTCCCAAATTTTGGGACCCAGGCTTGGGTCCTAAAATAACTTGGTCCTGTTGGACCAAGTTGTTGGACCAAGGTCCTGTTGGATAACTCGCAAGCATCGGGGAGTAGAACTACTCCCGAAACCTTCTCTAGGCATGCTCCAGGTATGCATGCTTTGGGATATTACTCCATAGTCACATTTATTACACCACTTTACCATATCTTTGTATACAACATCTGTAATTTGGTTTCATAACTGAAAAGACAAGATAATCCAACTCTAAAGCTGTGTTGACCTGGGTTGTTTAGCTTATTCTTTTTCAAGTAACTGTTAAGCTGCTTTTTAGCACGCTCCCAAACGCCTTAAGGATGAGCGATGTTTGCTCGGCCTGTGAGTGTCTTGTAGTGGCGTTACTGCCTCCCTTGTGAGGTGGGGCGATGTTCCTTGTTTAGGGTCTCTGGGGTCTCACCTGGATCTTGTTTAGGGTCTCTGGGGTCTCACCTGGATCTTGTTTAGGGTCTCTGTGGTCTCACCTGGATCCAGAATTTGCCTCCATATCCATGTTAGTAGTCTTTTGTATTTCTTTATAAACAATGAATTCCAGGAGTCTCGCTCCTGAGCTGAATGCTGGTCATGTTTACTTTTTTGGTCCAAGTCATTGAAGTTTTTGTAATACCTGACGGGGATGCCTTGCTATGTGGGGCGATTTCACTGGAAAATTCTCAGGATCTTCTATATAACTTTCACAGTGTCTGTTGTATTGCTATTTTTTTTATTGGGAATTCATTGTTGTTTTAGTCATCAGTGTGTCCGTACACCTCTCGTATGTCAGTCATGCACTTGTACAAGTTTTTATTTGTTCTTTCCATGTGTCGATGCTTGGGATGTTAGCACTTAAGGAACAAGTATTCACTCAATATGCAGTTGATACAATCCGTGGTAGACACCAGGTATAAGTCTCCCTCCCTTGTAGTGCCCCAAAAGCCCCGCACACCCGCCCAAGCTACGGACTCGGCTCACACCGCTCTACAAATCATCTCGTCTGGCTTCGTCACAAAGGACCTCCACTGTTCCAGTGGGAGTTCAGAAGTTTGTGTCTTGTCGGGATACACTTAGTACATCAGCCCTTTGGGACAGTACCAGAGGTGGGGGTACTTGAGGCCCAGCCCTACCTCCCTGGTGTGTGGGGCCGGGCCGGACCTGGTCTTGGTCACCTTTGATACCTGCTTGATGGGGTTCTGGGAGTTCTTCAGGACTTAACCCAGGTCACCCCTCCAGTATTCCAACAGTCTCCTGCCCCTCCCTCTCTTTCTCCCCTTTACCTCCCGCTCTCTCTCCAAGTGGACAAAACATGATCAAATAATATTGAAACGGAGTTGAATTAACGTTATTCACAATCAAACCCACATTTCAGACTTTATAGGACTCGTTAAGTGTCGCAATAGGAACCAATCCTATTTAAAGACGTCCACATTTGGAGTCGACCCCAACCACCTCATGACACTCGCCATACAATCATAAATCATCATGAAAAGTTGCGTGAGGCAAACCGCTCCCATCTGGTCTCCAACCTCGTACAGACACGCACACAGACGCTCTCTCTTATATATATAGATTAGTGACCTTTTAAGTATTATTGGTAACCTTCTCTCGTACAGTCATCTGCCTTCTTTTTCCTGTGTTAGACTAACTTGAACGTTCAGTGTATGAGCACTGACGAGTGGGGTACATCTCTGTAGTGGTAGAAAACTTTTCGTTATTAAATGAGCCTAACCTAACCTCTCTGCCAGCGCCGTGAGCCCCTGCAGTTTGTGTGTTCCAGATCTGCTTGATCTGGAATATTTGAGAGCTCTTTACTATTGATATTTATTAGGAATATTTGAGAGCTCTTTACTTTTCCTTTTGAGCCGGATCATCGTGTCGTTGTAATTAGGTAGATGGAGCTGGGTGCGCGGAAGCTGTAATTGGATGGGTTAGCGAGAGTAACAGAGTTCGGTGGGGTGAGGGTCATTAGAGGCGATCACGCCGAGCGGACGTTACTGTGGTCGACCATGGGGAACCTGTTTGCTCACCCGCCATGTTGTGTTAGAGTATTGGCCTGGGGGGGCCAGGCTCTCAAACCGGTTAGGTTATTCAGCAACCTGCGTATTATTTTAGCAGTGTCTGTTGCCTTGCCTAGTTGTCGGAGAAGCACCCTTGAAGTCATGCGCAGGTAACTCACAGGTAAACGGTAAGACTAGTTGCGAAACAATCCTTTAGTTGTTTCCGAGGATTGACGTCCCTGCGGCCCGGTCTCTGTCCGGGCCTCCTGGTTGGTGGTCTGTTCAACCAGGCTGTTAGATCCTTAAGAGGTGCTTATCAATTTATCTTTTAAACACGTAATAGGTGGGCTAGTTACACAGCTTTGGAGTAAAGGGTGTTGAAAAGTCTTGCGCCTTTATATGTTGATAGTTCTCAATCAGCGTACCTGTTGCACCTCTGCTTTTCAACGGGGTATTCTGCACATTCTGCCATGCCTTCTGGTCTCATGCGGTGTTATTTCTGTGTACAGGTTTGGAACCTGTCCCTCTTATTACTTTCCAAGTGTAAATTATTATGCATCTCTCCCATCTGCGCTCTAGGGAATGCAGATTTAACAATTTTAAGCATTCCCAATGATGTAAATATTTTAATAATTTTAGATGTTTTATTAAATGAATTCCTGGTAGAAATGGACGCTTGCACGCTCTCCAGGTCAGCAATTTCTCCAGCTTTGAAAGGGGCTGTCATTGTGCAGCAGTACTCGACCCTAAAGAGCACTTGAAGAGTATCAAGTCTTGAGTCTTGAAGAGTATCATCATTGGCTGGCGTCGCTTGTTTGAAAGGTAACCTGTCATTTTTCTTAGTTGTGACGGCTACTTTATTGTTACCTTTATTATTAAGGTCTTCGACATGATTACACCGAGATCTTTGTTATAACTGTTTCTTTATATAGTGTGATCTGGCTGCGTTTTATGTGTGGTTTTCGTTGTTATATTTTCGTTGTTACCATAGCGCAGGAGCTGGAAGTTATCTTCATTACATCATGTTATCATCTGTGGCCAATTGAAAGATCCAAATTATATAAGTTTGTAGGTTTGGCGTGTCCTCTGTTGTCTGTTCATAAAAATAATTTATATTATGGTTATATATATATAATCGTATATAGTGCGGTTATAGTTTTATGTCCTTGTCTACGCCCGGTATGAGGACGAGACAAGTACTGTATGGATGAACCGGATTTTACTTTGTTGACTATTGCACACTGGATTCAGTTCGTTAGAAAATTTAAAATCCATCTTCCTACTATGCTGTTGCAAAGTTAGAGAGAGAACTAATGACTGGACCTTTAGCGTAGATCGCTGTGCATATAACAGTCCGCTGGTTTCTTGAGGCTGGCTTCCACTGTGTCTTTCATGCTGTAGTGATACAGTATTGATGCCGCGTGAGACCCCGAGTTGATGGTATCCTTGGGGGTGATGGGTAATAAACAGGAAGTGTTTGTTGCAGACGACGTGTGGCAATGTTGACCTTGAGATACTCCAGCTTGCTACCTCATTACTCCCACACACACACACACCCACACTGCTACTCCAACAGTCTCCACTTAGATTTAGGCTCGGTGCTACTTCAAAGCAACCCTTTGCTTTGAAGTAGTAGCTCCCCCCCCCCATTTATGCAGTAGGCTGCATGAATGGGGGGGGGGGGGGTCCATGAAATTTCGATTAATGGGTCATAATCTAGAATTTTGCCCCGGGGGGCGAG